AGTTGGAGATAAAAATGAGAGCGATTGACTATTGCACGAAATTCTTGTTTTGTTCTTAAATATATGATTTCAGTCGTGGAAAAGAACGTGGCATCACCGCCCTTATTTAATTTAAGAAAAAGGTCAGGAGTAGCCTCTCCTAGCTCATGCGATCAAATGTGGACCCTCATAATCTTGAATTATTGATGCTTAATTATAATTTAGGCACGTAATTCTCCAAGTTACTGTAAAAACAAATGCAAAAGTTCTTTTCGGCCTTATGCTTTTCCATGCACGGTAATGATGATCATCATAACTAAAGTACGAAATTCTTGAGATTTGATATGGTAAAGTGTTACAAAATATGAGTAGGTGGATATCATGCTTTACGACAGCATGAAGAATAACAGTCTTAGTTGAAGAAAAGTTACGTCTTGATGATCTTGATCATTTTTTTGTTTCTTTTTAAGCTCTATTAAATTTATCTGGCAATTTCACCTTTTAAGGAAGGTGGAATGAGTAAACTAAATCTTTTGGACGTCTATGCGACTAGATCGATTAATAATAGCCTATAATAAAAATTATCTGCCGACCAAAATTATAAGTTCCTGTTATTACTTTACACTATATCGAGCCTGAGTGTAACAATCTTTAGATTGTTGTTTTTAATTATGTACTTTCTTATGTATCAAGCCTACATTTCCTTTAGGTTGTTTTTTATTATGTAACATTTCCTTTGGTGTATTCTGAGTTCAGTTTTTGTTTTTTTTTTTTTACTCAAAATGTATCGTCCTCTTCTCCCCCTTGATGGCGGCGATGGAATTTTGGGTAAAAGAAATTGGTGATTATAAATCTGTACGACATATTATTGGAATTTTGGATGTTGATTTTCTTTTCTCCGCCTAGTTGACGGCGGTAATAGAATTTGGGTAAAGAAATCGGTGGTTTTCGATCTGTCCGAATATTGTTGAAATTTTTTTATGGATAGTTTTTTCATTAATATGTATTTATCGGTTTTTTGTGGTTTATTTATAGTTTTTCTGGTCAGGTCCATTATATGTATGATTGAGTGATGATGTTTCATTCTTTTGGAGAAAATCTTTTTCGAGTGGTTAATTTATGTATGTTGTGAAGAATATGTTTAGTTGATGTTTATTAATAGTTAATATTTAGTT